CGAGTCTCATGAAGGGCTACCTTTCCCTGACTCCTGGTGAACGCTCGGTGATGGATAATGCTGGTTGGGTGCAAGGAGAGAAATTGACCGATGCAGCTGGTTACTTTGACGTATCTGTACCACTGAGTATGATACTAGGTTTTGCCGAAGAATATCGCAAGATCGTCGTAAACGCTAAGCACGAGTTGATTTTGACGAGAGCGAACCCTCCAGACGCGCCACTTTGTTAATTTTTGAGAAGTCCATTTTCATACAGGTTGGATTAAATCTTCTTCTCAAATCTATTCTTACTTTCAGTTCACGTTCTTTCTCCAAACTCGACAAATTGCGACAGTAAAATAATAAAAGAGCACCAAGCTCTTCCTTATATAGAGGGCACTCTTCTTCTTCTTAAGAGTGTGAAGGAATTTTAAATAAGTAATCAATTCATGGATCTACATTTTGGCATTATACAAAGGTTCGCTAAATTCTTTGGCATGAAAGATCCGCCACCGTCTCGATGGGGAATTCTTCTCGAATAAATAGTGCAAATTAAATTATTTTAAACAATTTCTTCGGTAACGTACAAAGGGTTATTCGACACCTCCTTTGATTTTTACCGTCTCTCCAAGGCCACTGTATCGTAGCGGAATGATAGTGGTGAAGAATGTACTCAATTACGTCTGATGTAAAATTCCTAAAATCTGCCGTAATATTTCTGAAATTTGCCGTAAAATCCCTGACACCTGACGTAAAACTAGGGCCCCCTTCCGATGACGTCAGCCGATGAAGTGGTCGGGGCCGTCGACTACTGAGCGCGCGCGCAGCACCCTCTTCAAAGAAAAAATTTCGGAGTCGTCGGTAAGCAGAAATCTTTCATACGGGGCCCAATCACTATAACTTACCATACACAGGGGGCGCCAACGTCGCTAACCTAGGGGGCACCACGTCCCTAACTTAGCACGGATGAGAACCCACAGGTCGGTAATATGTCGGTGCAGGAATCTTGGTCCAGAACTCTCCTTGTATAACTACTCGCAAGTAACGCTACCCGATCGCTCGCCCGCTAACGTGCTCTAGTGGCGCGGAGGAATATTACCCTTGGGCCCAATCAAATTCGCGCTAGCCCCTACGCGGCCCAATTCGCCCGCGATGTTAAATTGTCTCCGGGATCTAAGAAAAATAGATCTGCTCATCTTCTCCTCTTCGGGGCGATTGCAGTGTCTTTTCTTCGGGCGGGAATCTCATTCGCACCTTACCCCTCGTTTTACGGCTCCAGGCCGCCACTGCAACCCCCGGTTGCTGCCAGAATCTTGAAGCTTCTCGCGGCGTCCTTTCGCGTAGGTGGCCTCGTTCAGTGGTGCTCTGCGGTCGCGCTGGCCCTCCTCCTGCTGGCTACGTCACGCCAGTGCTAGTGATTGCACTGGTCGGGCCCCATTGCTGTGGTCAGGGCCGTTGCTGCTTCTAATTTCTCTCTGATCGGTTACCTTACGGGACCGACCACCGCTAGTAACATACAAAATACAGTCCCCGACGGGAATTAATACATATTCTACACGCTGAATCCAGTCCACGCTTGACGCAAATGTTAGGTTGCCTTGCGTACCTTACGGTGTAGTTCCTATTTCGCCTTTTTCCTTCCTCTTGTGTGACGTGCACAAAGTGCCACGTCACAATATATAAAAGCCGATATGAGGCCAATAGAATCAATAAAGGGATAATCGTAGACCAGACAAGAATATCATTGGTAATTATAGAGATGTTCAAGGAGAACATATGGAAGAAAATCGTTGATAGGGTTAATGATAAGGAGTAACTATTGGAGAAATAGTAGGCTATTGTTATAATCATCACCATAGTAACAGTTGTCACGGGTAGTCATATACTATACCTAGAGGAACAGGTGGCTTTAATAATTGGAATAAATTAATAAATGAACATACAATGACGAGTTGGGGTCGTCATTCATTTCATGTGCCATTATAGATTTTGACGAGTCGGACTCGTCAAGAGCTGTTTTCGGCGAACACCGTGCAGTATACTATTAGATTACTCAATTGCTTAACTCCTGCGTTGATTTTCGTTTCCTTACAATGTTCGAGATGGCCCACCCACTCTCCTTCGCAACAGTGCCGATAACAAAAGAGCATCCACAAATCAGAAGAAGCACATTGAAAGTAGTATTCAGTATAGCAGATATCTTGCACGGTGAATGTCATACTAAATAATATTTGAGTTTGGTAAAGATTATAAATAGTCGCTGTAACATGTATAAGTCGAATGCATTATCAAGAGACTCAGTCGAATCTCGCGCCAAGTACAGGCAACCCGCTGTACAGGGCACGGCCCGCCGAGACTTTGCTCGAAGTATCTCTTATACCTGTGTTTCGACTCAAATGTTTTATGAACGGTTATGTGTGAGAAAAAGTTATTGATACATTCGGTATAGGAATCAAGAGTTCTCAATCGATTGCCACCAAGTTCAATATAATTAGTGTACGAGATCAGGGCGTATTCATATGGCGAGCGAGATGATTTTATTTCAGGTCCGCTGCTGCCGCCGTCATCATCGTCATCGTCGTCGTGCTTCACAAAGTACTCAGAATTAAAGAGCGAAACCTTAAAACATAGTAAGAGCAATACAAATGAATTTGTTTAAACAAATTTTGGGATTTCTTGACATAAAGGACTTAGAAACGGATAAACGTTCATGAAAGACTCGCAAGGGAAAGGAACCACTCGAACCATCATTAGTAGTTATAAGCCACTTCTGGCCGTCACAACAAACCCCCACCACTGTCCCCTGTGAGTCATGGAGCGCGCAGCGCTCTGACCCCCCCCGTACCGCACTATGGCGTCACCCCCTCGCCAATGTGACCAGCTCTCCCCACCGCCAACCTATGTTGTTGCTCCCCCACCACGCGGGCCTCGTCCTAAGGCCCGAAACTCAGTAGCAGCGGCGTTGCATGCCCCCCAGGGGCCGTATCACGGTCGGTAATTATGC